AAGAAAGTGGGAAAGCCAAGCCTTAAATACCATTCCCAATAGTGTTTCCAATACTATGTGGGATTTGAGCATTACCAACACTTGTTCCCAATACTATGTGGGATTGAGCCTAAAATAGTGATATTATTTTTAAATGTTTTGCTTAAAATTGCAATAATCGCGATTGATTGTAGATTGACTTTTAATTATGACATATTTAATCGTATAATACTAATGCAATTGGCTGCTGATTCAGTTGTTTTAAGGTGCATGATTGTTAATTGTTTCCTGAATAATCACATTGTATTGGAAACAAGTGTTGGTAATGCTCAATCCCACATAGTATTGGAAACACTATTGGGAATGGTATTTAAGGCTTGGCTTTCCCACTTCCTTGTTGAGTGATAGAGAATAAGGGGGACTCTCGCGCGCCGCCGCCGCCGCCGCCGTCGCCATCTCGTCTCGGGTCGGGTCGTGGTCGTGGTCGTGGTCTTGGTCATACGTGTCTTCGACATGTCCGCGCGGATACTATCTTTTTAGAGAAAATTCTTAAGAAACAAAATTTTTTTTTTTAACTATCACAACGAATTTTCGCAACGAATTTGGAGAATCGCAACGACAACTATATACTATCGCAACGCGAAATGGAAAAGCGCAACGCGAACTATTGCAACGCGATTTTCAACTATCGCAACGCGAAATGCACCGCGAATTTGCGATAGTGGAGATCGCAATGCAAATTAGAGATCGCATTGCGATTTTGTTGGTCATTTTCGCAAATCCAAAAAAAGTTGGTCAAATCGTATATTATCTAGGATTTTTGGTCACTGAGGTTATTTTCTCTTATAAAAATCATACTAATAAACATCATAAGTTAAAATCATCCCAATTAGGGATGGCCATGGGTCGGGTTTTTGGTTCACCTGACCCGACCCGAGAATAAGGGAACATCCACCCGATACCCGACCCGACCAAAATAAAGTTTCACCTGACCCGATCCGACCCAAATATATGAATTAGAAACCCGACCGACCCGACCCGAAATAAAAAAAAATATTTTTATTCAATAAAACAGTGACTTAATTGAAAAAAAAATATATATAGAGGGGTATTATTGTAATTATTCCTAAATATATAAGGTAAAATTATGTATTTTTTTCGGGTCAGGTATTTTTACCCTAAACCTGAACCCGACCCGAATATCACACTTAAAAAAACCCGACCCAAACCCGAATTTTTTTAAAAAAAATCCGATCGATCCCGAATTTTTTTTAAAAAATCTGACCCGAATACCAAAAGATTGATGAGGGTAGTATGGTCAAATTTTACATTCTCCCCTCCAAAGGATTTCAATTCCATCATGTTATGGATGGAATTTACTTTCTCTCCCTTGATGGAATTGAATTTCAATTCTTCCTAATTCCAAGAGATTCCAGCGAACCAAACGCTACCTTAGGGCTTACACTATTTGTATGATAAAAATGTCGATGGGGTTTATCGGCGGGTTTCTAGGATAGGGACATTATTATTATTATTATTATTATTATTACGAAATTTAATTTTATAAATTCATAGTTTTATATTTAGTGATCTAAATTATTCCAAAAAGAATTAAGAAAAATAAATAAATACACATTACATGTATTTAGTTTCTTTTTAATAATATGATTGTCTTTTCGAGATTTAGTGATACACGCGTGGAAGTAGTAGATGACATGGCATAATAAAATCAAACAGTTGTAAAAATTTAATTTTTTATTTTAAAAATTATCCTTGTGTATTAAATTATATAAATAATAGGGTTATTATCTGCTAGAGAATTTATTTTACACAAAACTAATTTTATTTAAAATATGAAATATTCCAAACTACAATAAAGATTAAAAATCTAATCATATAAATCATTTAAATAAAATTAGCAACTTAAGATCACATATAAACCATACAAGTAAATATTAAGGGGCTATTTGATTAAATCAGAATGATTAAGCGTTGAATGATTCAATGGCCTGAATGATTCAAAGGCTCTGTATGAATTAGCTCTGAATATGACTTGCTGTTTGATAATGATTCTGAATCATTCAGCAGTGTTTTGCTGAATCATTCAGCACAGTCTTCATTCAGAGGTGAAAATCAAACACGCTGAATGCTGAACGGTTCAACATTCAGCGTTAAATAGTTTCATTCAGCAGTAAACAAACAACCCCTAAAAATCTAACCAAAAAACTCAAACAAAGATAGATATAAACAGATCTGATCGCATCAGCAAACAAACCACAAAAGAGATCAAGCTATTGAAAGACCACTGACAAACTGCAAATCAGACTCTAGCGACGTGAAAAGCTATGCACGAACACAAATAGGATACCAAATCCAATCTGAGAGTTCAAAGCAAGGAAGATCAACAAGATATCAGATAAGCATCATCTTGATCAATCGTAGTGATATCAAATCAAACCTTAGAAAAAAGATTAATGAAAAAACTATCAAACAACTGAAAAACATGCCAAAAAGCATAAGAACGTATCATAAAAGCAAATGAAAACGTGGCATACAAGCAAATTTATTGAAATAAAAAATAAAAGAAAAATTATGATACGATACAGAAAAGGAAAATACAATAAAAAAATATCAACGATAGACAATCAACCAACAAAGACAAAAAAAATGATGAACGACACACCAATGAGAGAAAACTTCATATATATATATATATATATATATTGTACATGTAAGATGCCAATATTTTCTGAAGATATTCTTTTTGTATATTCTAATTAATGATAGATACGGGACTAATTACTTTATATTTTCCGAGTAGATTTTCAAATTCCATTTTGCATCATTTTTGTTTGAAGCCAAACAATTAACTAATATGGGGAAGAAGTTGTATAGCTTACCTGCAAGGTTTTATCGTATATGTATGCACGAGGGAATTCATACAAACGGAAACTGAGTAAATGCAAATTTTATCAATGAAGTGAGAGTAAGGGTGTGTTTGTTTTCCGTAATTGGAATTACGGAATTAGTTTTTCCCGAAATCTCGTGTTTGTTTCATGTAATTCGTTTTCCGGAAAATATTTTTCCGTGTTTGTTTTACGTAATTCGTTTTCCGGAACGTAATTCATTTTCCTAATAACAGAATTTCCTTTGTGTTTTCTTCCAAACTTTTCACTTCAAAGCAAAAATACTCAAAATAATTTTATTTTATGAATTTAATATTAATAAAATATTTTAATATCATTTTCATCAAAATATTAATTATTAAAATATTTAAAATATATTTATTAATATTTATAATATAATATTATTTTTAATATTATATAAAATAATCAATTATATTATAATAATATAAGATATTATATTTTATTTTAATAATATATAATAATTTTTTATATATTTAATAATGAATAATTTTATTTATATATTTAAATAATATTTTAGTAAAGATATTTAAAATATACTAATTAATATTTTTAAAATATAATATAACACTATTACTTTAATAAATAATTAATATAATTTATAATATTTTATTTCACTAAAATATACCAATATTAATATTTTATTAATAAAATTATAAAAATAATATTTAATAATAAATAAATTATTTTAATATTTTAAAATAATAATATTAAGTTTTATGATAAATAATATTATTTTTTATATTTAATATTTGTAATAAATAATTTTTAAAAAACTAACCAACTAGTGAAAAAATATTTAAATAATATCTCTCAAACATCATAAAACGTTTTACAAATATTTTCAGAAATGTAATTCATTTTTCAGAATTCAAATTTCAGTAATTTATTTTTCTATAATTCAAATTCTAATAATTTATTTTCTGAAAAATCAATTAAAGCTAAACAAACGTATAAGAATCTGCTCCCTTCCCCAGCCGAACGTCTAATATTTGTTGTTGCAGCAGTGTGGGATTCATCAAATTTGTTGGTTCATGAAGCTGCATTTGCGTAGGTTCAAATGTAAGATGCCAAAAAGAATCAACTTGTTGGATTGAGAAAAAACGTTAATGCCAGAAATAACTCCCCGCCGCCTTGTCTACCCAAAACCACACCAAAACCCTCCCTTTCTCTTTTTTCCCTCTCACCAAAACTCTATCTCTCACCCAACAAATCCACGCGTGTATCGTTCTCCATGGGTTCAACGGTTCCGTCGTTTACGGCTCCAAGCTCACCGACGCCTATATCCATTTGGGTTCTCTGCAATTTGCCCAGAAAATCTTCGATTGCATCCTCGCAAGAATCTCCATTCCTGGAACACCCTTATATTGTTGGGGTTGACAGTTTCAATTTAGTTTTTGCGATCAAAGCATGCGTTGGATTTTCATTCCTGAAAGACGGAAAACTGATTCACTCTATTGCTGTCAAGTTTGGATTGGAAGGAGACGCGTATGTTGCGCCTGCTCTTGGGAAGATGTACGGTTAATTGGGCTCTCTGAGAGATGCTAGGAAAGTGACGGTTTTCCTGAGAGAAATTATGTTCTTTGGGGTATTATGATGGAAGGGTATTTGAAGTCTTCAGAAGAATTGCAAGTCTTTGAACTATTTCGTAGAAAGAAGGTATTGGGTGTGGAATTGGATGCTTTTACAGTGGGAGGGTTGGTTCGAGCTTGCGGAAATGCATCTGCTGCTAAAGAAGGTGGTTTGTGTATTAAAAACAACTTCGTTTGTTCCAATGTTTACTTGCAGACCTCCCTTATAGATATGTATTTGAAATGTGGTTTGGTTGATTTTGGAACGAAATTGTTTGAAGAGGCTAATGAAAGGGATGTGGTTTTGTGGAGTTCGATGATAACGGGATTGACCAAAAATGGGAAGGGGTTTGCCTTGTTTAGACGATTGTTGCAACAGCCTTTAGTTCCGAACTCAGCTACCTTGGATAGCATTCTTGGAGCTTCCTCCTTATGGGGTTCTTTGAAACAAGGGAAGAGTGTTTATGGCTACATGATAAGAAAAGGGATTGACTTGGATGATGTAAATTACAATTCTTTCATAGACATGTACGCCAAATGTGGTTCGGTTTCAATGGCTCAAAAACTTTTTGCTCAGATGCCATTGAAGAATGTAGTTTCTTGGAGTGCAATGATCAACGCTTTTGGAATTCATGGTTTATGCTCTGAAGCTTTGGCTTGTTTCAACCAAATGAGATCGAAAAACCAAGTACCTAATTCCGTAACATTCGTTTCAATTCTGTTAGCTTGTAGTCATTCTGGAAAGGTTGAAGAGGGATGGAGATTTTTTAAGGAAATGACTCAGGATTATGGGATTGTTCCAACTCAGGAACATTATGCATGTATGGTAGATTTATTAGGAAGGGCTAGGAAGATCGAGGAAGTTTTATCCTTCATTGACAGCATGCCTATAGAACCTGATGCTAGTGTTTGGGGGTCTTTATTGGGTGCATGTAGAATGCACAGAAGGGTTGAATTAGCTGAAAATGTATCTGATAAGCTCCTTCCTTTGGAGACCAATAAGGCATCTGTTTATGTTTTTCTTTCTAACATCTATGCTGATGCTGGCAGGTGGGAATCGGTGAAGAAAATAAGGAAGAAATTGGCAAAACTGGACTGTGTAAGCATATCCGGTTCGCCGCAGTTAAAGTTGGGAAGAGGTTTCTCGTACTGTAGTGCCTTGGATGGATTAACTTGCATAAACACACATGCTGAGAAAGTTATTACTGCACACAGCTTATCTACCATCTTAAAGGAGCGATAATTCCTCTAAACAGATTGACTCGTTGTATTGTGTCGAGACCCTTCCACCTCGTTCGCGTGGACATTAGTCGCTAACCCATAATACAGATGAAACTTGTTTAAACGAACTTCATTCGGCTTTCATTGGAAGCATGTTATGAGGAGAGTATGCTTCCTCGAATGTTTACTTGCTTGTTTATGGCGCTTCATGGCTTGGTTGAGTTTCTTCTGTAAAGTTTGCCAGGCAAGTGGAAAGCAAAGAAGAGATAGAGACACGAGCATTGTTCCTATACCATCAATTTTCTGTACTGTGTTGCAATTGCGATTGCAGGTGGCTTTATTAGCTTTGATAACATGGTTTTGTTCTTGGCATCTTCCTCTCTTCTTGCTATTTGTTTTATGAATGGTTGATGCCATAAACCAGTGTCCTCTTCAAGAAAAAAGAATTAACATCACCATGAATTCTTGTGAGCTTCTGTTTAGGCATTGTTGGGGGCAAGCCACCCAAAAAAGTGTGTTGACTTTGGAAATTACAAGGCAAGTAAGACTAAATTCAGTTTCATATGCTGGTTTACACTCTGTCATTGAACATGGAAGTCCATTTGCAGAACAATTATGAGGCTTGAAGCTTATAATTATTATTTTTAAAAAATGAAATTCCAATTTTAACATAATTAGTTTTTCTTATTCAAATATTACAACTTTATTTGCGTCCAACTTGAACAAAGATTAGGATGGGATGTCTTTAGCATAGGTTGTTGAAGAAGCCAAACTCAATGCCGCACGTGTGTATCGTTGTTCCTATTTGGTTATGATTGAGTTTGACTTTAAATAATTGTAATTGCAAACAATTAAATATAATTCAGCTTTCTAAAGAAGAATGTTTTAAGTACTACTTTCTGAACAATTTGTGAAATTTAATATAGTTTTGACTTTAGAAATTCTAATCTTTTATCTAAAAGATTTGAATATAAATTCTTTCACTAAAATGTAACCACCCAAAAATTGTGTAAATTGTAGTTGACCCACGGTTGCTGATCGAAACAGGTAGATGGATTGGGCCTCTTGTTTAATGGGCAATTTTCGTTTTTAGTCACTTGTTAATGTTAAACATTTGTTTTAACCCTTCTCCAAATGGATAAATTATACTTTTAGTCCTCAAAAATTAATTATTAAATTTAAGTTCTTTTTAAAAATCAAGTTAGACTCAACCACAATGTTATAATTCCATCACGATCCTCGACACTGATAATTGAATTCATCTCTGTTGAAATATTAAGATTATGTTTGGATGTCACCTAGGTCTATGGTGCAATAACACTTGTATTAATTGACATTAGATTTGAGTTCAATCTCGAACAATTCTTAGAGGAAAAAAATATCTAGGTAAAATAATAAAATGTTGAAGAAAAAGGAGCAATGGGGCAATGGACCTGGTTAGTAACTCAGCACTTGGAAAGTGTTGCTGAGATTGGAAGAGATAAAAGCCCATGAAAAAGGAAGAGAAGGTCAGGGTAAGTATATAAAAATGAGATTTTCCCCGTAATTCAAAGTTTGGCTTAATACAAAAGTAAGTGTCTGAGCTTTGTTTCAAAAAACGTTTTAGTGTCTAATTTTTTTTTGCTAAAATTAGGTGCCTAATGTTTTCATTGGAGCACTTTTAAGTGCCTAGACAGTAACAACCGTTAAATTTGATCGTTAAGTGACATTTGTAAGTTCTTGTAATTTTGAGAGTTTATTTTAATTTTTTTAAAAAAAAACCCCTCCCCTTTCCCCATTCCACGATCATCATCTGGCCAATCGTGACCACCATCGCCACTATTGTTAACACCGACATCGATTGTCGATCAAACCCCCATTGGCCTTCTCATCGTAAGCTGCCACCAATTTGTCGTGGATAAATGTTCAAATGTTCGTCGGATTTTAAGTCATTGTCGTTGTTTTTCGTTGATTTCGGTCGGTCTCAACGTCCATAAGCCACTTCATCACCACCATTCGAATCACCGTGTAATTCCGCCCAAAATTCATCCTCGTCGCCGCTCCGTTGATACTCCTCCGACGTTCCATTGTGGAGATTAAGATTTTAAAGTTTTAGGGATTTGTATGTGGGGAATTTTAGAGATTTAGGGGATTTGGGTGATGGTAAGGGCGAAGGTTGATCAATGGGTGGCCAGGGACGGGTGGGTGACTGTTTGGCGATGACGATGGTGGCCAAAGATGGCCGATGACAGTTAGTAATAGGGTTGAAATGAGAGATTTTAGTTTTTTAGAGTTTTTTTTATAATTTCATTAAATTTTGGGTTCTTTTATAAATAAATTAATTTTTTTAAAAAAAATTATATTAGAAAAATAATATTTTTTTTATTTAAAAAAAAATTAGGCAACTTGAAGTGTAACTAAAAAACGTTAACTATGCATGAACCAATTTACCTAAATAGTTAAAGGAATCGTTGTTATTCGTAGAGGTCACATGTTCGAGCACCATCGACTGCAATAGCAATAAGGTGATTGAGAGTTTATTGTCAAATGATTGAAAATATTTAGAACATATACTATTTTGTAATCAACCCAGCTTAATAAAAAAATGTTAATTTTTAGCAAAAAAATATTGGGTAAATTACACATTTAATACCTAAAGTTTCGTTTTTGGTACTTTTTAGTACCTAGACCTTCAATTTTTATAAAATCATATCTAAAGTTTAGTTTTTGTTTAATTTTAGTACTTGTCGTCAACTTTTTATTTCATTTTAGTACCTAAATTTTTAACAACAATATACTAAAATAAAATAAAAAATAAACTTTAGGTATAATTTTAAAAAAAATTAAAAGTTTAAGTGTTAAAATATATAGTTTACTCATAATTATTCTGGCATTAAATCCTTTTTGAGATAAAGTTTAGTCAATTATTTTTATATTAATCCTTCCAAGTTTTTACCCAGAAGGAATTCGTATTAGGGAAGCCAAGCAAACAGATTATCTCCCCCAGTATTTCCCGAAGATTCACTTCCAATTTCTTCTCTTATCCCACACCTATATATATACACTTTACAAACCCCACTCTGAGAAGTATCTAGACGGAAGAGAAGAGAGACCAAAATGGCGAACCCACCAAAGCCATGGAAAGCGGAATATGCCAAGTCTGCTCGATCTTCTTGCAAAACTTGCAAAAGCGTTATCAGCAAGGAGGCCTTCAGGCTAGGCAAGATGGTCACTGCCACCCAGTTCGACGGCTTCATGCCCGTACATTTTCTCCACTCTTTCTATTTTCCTTTTTCTGGCTCTTCCCCCCCCCCCCTGAATTCTGGGAAATTTGAAGTGCATGCAACTGTTGTTTTCATTTGGATTTTGTGGGGTATTGTTTAATTTCTTGCTTAATTTGTTGTTTTCCCTTATTTCAATAATTTTCTTTTAGGCTTTGGCTAGTGGCATTCCCTGTTGTGTTCTTCTAAATCTCAAAGTCAGCTTTTTTCTGTCGACATTTCTTACCCTTTTCTTCAATTTTACTTATTTCATTGTTGTGGATGCTTAAATCTTCTAACTTTTTTTACTTATATTTGTCTGTTTCCTGAATTAGATGTGGAACCATGCAGATTGTATACTAAGGAAAGCAAATCAGATAAAGTCGTACGTACTTTACTAATTGTCTGGTGTGATTTCTGAAAGGCTATCTGTATTGAATGCAGAGGATAACCTCTTCTTTTTAAATTGTGTAGTACTGATGATGTTGAAGGCATAGAATCGCTTCGATGGGAGGACCAACAAAAAATCAGGAACTATCTGGAATCCGGTGGACCTTCAAATGCAAAAAATGTCTCTCCTCAAGCCATGGAATATGCTATTGAAGTTTAACAAACTTCTCGTGCTACTTGCAAGGGTTGCTCCCAAAAGATTATGAAGGGAGAGGTGGATTGTTTATGCTTTTCATATATTGGTTTCATTCATGGTTTCAAATTGCGGTCGCGTTTTCGGTTATTTCAGATTTATCGTGATTGCGGCCGTCGCGGCCGCTATTGCGGCTGTCGCGGGTAACTCGGACGGCTGCGAAACCACTATATCAGAGCCGAAATCGCGAACCGTTTTTTAAAATCCTGGTTTCACTTGTTACTAACTTCCAGGATTAAGTAAAATGGATCTATGGATTATGTAATGATTCAAGGACCCAATAAAGAATCTTCTTTTGGTTCTTGCCTTAACATATGGATTAAGAAATGATTCAAGTAGGGTTTTAAATAGCGATTGTGGTCACGTTTTCGGTCGCGTTACATTTATCACGGTTGCGGATATAACAGATGCTATTGCGGTCATTACGGATATCGCAATCGTGAATTTTTTCGAATGAACTGATTTTTTTAATAAAAAAACTTGTTTTTTTTATAATTAAAATAACTGAATAATAGCGGAATAGTGGTCCGCTATTACTGTGATTGGCCGCGATCCGTTAAATTGCGGCCGCTATCCGCCGCTATTAGTGTGATCTTGCTTCACACCGTTATTTTTCGCGATACCGGTTTTGGACATCGCCGCGATCGCGATATAACGGTCACGATACCGTTATTCGGCTGCTATTTGAAACCTTGGAGCTATTTGAAACCCTGGATTCAAGCACCCAGTAAAGAATCTATTGAAAAGATTTTACTTTGGCTGTGCGGTTAGTTATTTGATGTCACATGTAAAATGGTTTTACCTTAACATATGTTTTGTTTACATTTTTTTGTTTCTTTTTTTTTCTCAGAAACTAATGTGTTTTGTACCCTCTTCTTCTCAAAATTTGGTTTCTATGTGGTTCCTTAAAACAAAATCAAATGTGTCATTTTTGTTGTTATAGCATCTCAATATTTGATCTGTCTTCCAAAATAGTTGTGCACTTCATTGTTTTATTGCAGAAGATAAACTACTTTTTTTATAAAAAAATACTCGTTAAATCAGAATGCTGTTTATCTGTCTTGTATCTAGTTTGTCTTAAATAAAATATTGGTATATAAAAGAACATAGTAGAAGCATGGGGTAAATTTTGAGATTCAT